GCACCCAAGTGACCTAACGCATCATAGGTCGACACGGTCCAGGCCCACCATCACGTTCTAGTTTTTCGTCTTCTCTCATTTCATTTTCTTCCTTTCTTTTCCCCTATTGACATTTTAGTTCGTCTGGGAGATCGAATAATTTAGAGATTCCATTTCCCATTCTAGAAAATAAAAGATAGAAAATAGTTTAGGGCTCCTTTGATTCAAAGGATTTTTGTAGAAACTTGGGAGGATTAGAATCCTTAGGATTTTTTTTCCTATGATTGATTTTTGATCCATAGGATGGAATTCCATAGAATTTCTAGCATCCACTCAAAATATATTTAAAAGAATCCTTTGTTTTTCCTACAATGCAATCAAACAAACCAAAATCATGTAGGATTGAGATGAGCATGTCATGCCAATCTTATGTTGTTTCTATTCCCACATTTTTACAATCCTACGAATCAAAGAGGCCCTTTATTGGCTTCATTCCTTTTTTTAGCAAAAAAGGTAGGGATGACCCCTACCGTGCCATTTTATTTATTTATAAATGATGGTGGCAATGTACATGTGGTGTCAAAGTCCATAGGGCAAGTTTACAAAGAATCCAACCATGATTGCATGCCTTCTCTAAGACTAGGCCTAGCTCTATGAATAATAAAAGAAAATGAAGCCTTGAATTCAATACGTGATTTGATATTGGGCTAAATAATTCCAAAGATCTGCCCCTTTCTTTGCAACCAAATGCTCCATGGATATGTTTTCATTCCAGGCAAAAGAATGTAACTGTGGGAATTTTCTTGCCATAATGACGCACTTGTAACAGCGGTCATACACTTCACAAAAACCCGCATCTGGCACAACTTTAATAGAATAAGCTAGTGAGATTGAATTATTTTACCTTAGTGGATGTGGACATTCTTGGGATAGTAAGGCCCATCCTTACGCTCTTCCCAAGATTTGTTCTTAAGGTCATTCTTGGAGCTCTTCTTCCTCTTTCTGTTTTGTCGGATCCGTTCTATCCTTGCTAATTTGCGTGGACATAAATTGTGAGGACAATTACTTTCATCAAAATTACACACCTTTCATACTTCTAATACTAGAGGATAAGCGGTGACAGATGACTAGCGCCAGGCCGTGGAGGCCATGAGAGGAGGAGATGGGGGGCATGGGAAGAGGGGAACGAGCAGTGGCGTCGGGGATTCAGGTACCAGAGTAGGAGGAGGAGGAGGGCCGGCGAGGGAAGGTTACCTGGGTGCCGCCGTCGGCGGGGAAAAGAAGGGACACGTCGTTATCCTTTGCACGATGGGTGATTTTTCAGCCAAATCGGAGCGGGAGAGCTCAAAAACATGGGAAGGCTCAAGACGTGTTAGCGATTTCATGCATGTATTCGTTCCATTTCGAACGACTATTTCGTGTACTCCAAAACAACCAGATTGAATTTTAGGGAATACCAAATCTAATTTGGGGCCTTTGTACACGCATCCAACCGAAACGTTAGGTAATATCAAAACATACATACATATATAAGTAAATACTACAGCTGAAAAACCAACTAGATGCAAGATAAAGTGAAAAAAAAAGCCTAAATGATGCACAGAAAGAAAACCAGGTGTTAATTAAAGCAAAATCCCTTCGTGATGCAAATCCCTGCGCTGTGATTGGCCGATAAGACCCTCTCGCGGATCGCACCCCCAAACCAATCCCCACCGCCCACTCCCCACAGATCCAACGGCAGGCACACTGCGTCACGCGGATCGCTCCCCCCCTGCCGCCGTCCCCACGAAGCTTCATCTCCCCAATAAAGCCGCGCCCTCGCTGGCGTCCCAACCCACAAACGCAGATCAGAGCGCATTCCGATCCCGCACCGCCGCCCACGCATCTCGAGTGGTTTCCAGTTCGCCGGAGAAGCAGCAAGCGAGATGGCCGGAAGGAAGGGCGGCGACAGGAAGAAGGCGGTGACCCGCTCCGTCAAGGCCGGTCTCCAGTTCCCCGTCGGCCGCATCGGGCGCTACCTCAAGAAGGGCCGCTACGCCCAGCGCGTCGGCTCCGGCGCCCCCGTCTACCTCGCCGCCGTCCTCGAGTACCTCGCCGCCGAGGTATGCGCCGATCTCTCCCCTCCTCGAGCCTTCGTTACTCTGTTCTCGTCGTGCTCGACTGATAACTGACCGATTTCCTTTATGAATCGCAGGTCCTGGAGCTCGCCGGCAACGCGGCCAAGGACAACAAGAAGACCCGCATCATCCCGCGCCACCTGCTGCTCGCCGTCCGCAACGACCAGGAGCTCGGCAGGCTGCTCGCCGGCGTGACCATCGCCCACGGCGGCGTGATCCCCAACATCAACTCCGTGCTGCTCCCCAAGAAGTCTCCCGCCGCTGCCGAGAAGGAGGCCAAGTCGCCCAAGAAGAAGACCTCCACCAAGTCCCCCAAGAAGAAGGTCGCCGCCAAGGAGTAGCCGCCACCATAGACTACTATCATGACATTGCTTAGATCCATAGCAGGGAGAGGAAGATGAGGTTTGGTTGATTGGATCATCTATGTAATTGCCTAGTCTGTAGTGACTTTTTCATTGGTTTGATGAACGGGCCACTGAGGGCTGTATTCTATCTCTAATTTATGTCCGGAATGGCTAAAGATGCAATCCTTTCAATCATCTTCTCTTGAGTATTCATGGCTGCAATCCATCTTGTGTATGTTTGGTTACCTGCCTTTGCTTTAGAGACTCTCAGCTTATGGTTATTAACATTTTGTACCTTCTGTCCGTTTAAGCCGATGACAGTGTACTTAACAGACCTGAGAAACAATTAGGCAAAATGGGATACCAGAATTACTTTTGGACTGAGAAAGAGGTAGTTACTGAGAAATCAACATGCTACTGTAGAAGAATGCTTGTCACACAGGAGGCCAAACATTGCTGGATAAATAATCAAGTCGATGCTGCGCTTCATGCATCAATACAAAAATCACCATCTTCAGAAAACAATTTTTTTTTACAAAGTTACCACCGTGGAGAAAATAACAGGTAATAACCTCAGCAAGACGGTGAAATAGTCAGAGGTTTCACACATAATGTTAAAAACTAATAAGTATCCCTCTTGCCCCTTTCTCTTTTACATTTTGTGACAACTGTAACTCTGCTCTCAAAATCAAATGTTCTCATCAGAATGCAGCTAAGCATCCCAATGCGCATCAACTTCTAACCTCGCATCTTACTAATTTAAGTAAAAAAGCAAGCACTAGGACATTATTTGCTAACATGATTTCTTCAATATTTCGTGAATTTTCTTCTAGTAGTGTCGGAAATATAGAACTTGGTACTTCATGATGCGCTTGAATCATGGTGTATTCTCATATTATTGTTTGCTCACCCTTTTTTGTCCACATTTTAGTGTTTGTTTGACCTGTTTTTGCTTACTTTTGTGTCTACTTTTTCAAAAGAAATTCTAAAATGAGCACATGACATTATAATTCACTAATTGCGAATTGAACCTTAGACATGTCTTCTAATATGACTGTATCTTAAGAGCATAGCTCCCCTGTTACCCCCATCATCTCGATGCGGACGCCTAGAGATTGATTAGTATGAATTTTTGTGGGCATTGGGCCTTCAGTCTATGTGTATTGGACCTGCAGCTGCACCCAACACATAGCAGGCCGACCCAGTCCAAGCCCTCCATCGTATTATCATTTCTCTGCTTCTCTCATTTCATTTTCTTCCTTTGTTTTTCCCCATTGAAAGTTTTGTTCGATTCGAAGATCACGTTTTCAAGAAAAGAAAAGATAGAGAATAGTTCAGAAGTTTCATTTTATCTCTAGATTTTCTTCATTGGATTAATTCTTTGGTATATGCATAGCCATCTAAATATAATTATTGATATGATATATAACCTTGTATATATTGAGGAAAAACGCAAGACACCTTTGATAAAAATCCGATCAAATATTTAAAATTTTATTTGAAAGCAAAAAATAAATACAGAAAAACGAAAAGGAGAAAAACTGAACAAATCAATCAGAAGAATGTTCAACCTATGTGGTGAAAATGTTCAACGTACATTGACCAAAAGTCAACATATATTCGGAAAAATAAAAAAACAAAGAAAACAAAGATATAAAAAAAGAAAGAAAACCGATGATAACCAGGAGAGAGAAAACATAGAAAAGGAGAAAAAAATGGACAGAAAACCAACCAGAAGGTTCCTAAAACTAATCCAGGCCTCCCATGGAGGGTTCTGAAATCCGCTTAAATGAGTCAGCCCACTCAGCAAACACACAACAATTTCTGTCGCAGTAAGCGAGATATAGCTCACCCAGGCACAACCAGAAGCTGCTATGCAATGTCTATTGCGTGTGTTAATGTTGCGGCGCTCACCTGGGTTGGCCCATAAGAACGTTGAGCTGCCAAAGCGATGTATATTTGTTCACTGAAAAAACTATGAGTTCGTAGACACAAAACCAGCCAAGTGGTTGCTATTAGTGCACAAAACCCATCAATATGTACATGTATTTATCTTAATATATTTCTTAGTTGTGTGCATCTAACTAAAAAAGGAAAGTAAACAATATTGAGAGTGCATATAGACCCTAATTGTATTTTGTTATGATGATGATATGTTTAGTTGGACTAACGGTGTTTGTCAAATTTATTTGACGACATTGGTTCCTTGGTGAAAAGGAAGGAGATGGTTCTCCCCTCCCCCATCCCCAAAATGTGCCGGTTTGTCGAAGGACTCAAAGTATTGTCTGGTTTATTTAAATCTTAGGAAAGTCGCGCTATTAAGAGGAGTTGAGGTTGCATCATTGTGGGGATCATGCCTAGTAAAAACCA